CGGTTTGTGAGTTTGAGCTCTGAGTCAGGCTCTGTGCTGACAGGTCGGAGCCTGGAGCCTGCTTCAGATTCTGTGTCTCCCTCTCTCTCTGTCCCTCCTGCTTGCCCTCTGTTTCTCTCTCTCTCAAAAATAAATAAAGATTAAAAGAATTAAAAAAGAAGACTAGACACTTGGGAAATTTTTAAACACTATTGTTCTAACAATATTGAAATAACATTGATTACATTAAAGATTTATTGTTGCTATCATGTGTTGTGGATATGTGGTTATAATTTTCAAAAGTCATTATCTTTTAACTCTTTATAAATGACATGATAACATGCCATATAAGATGTCACTGTAAAGCTACAGTAACCAAAACTGGTATCACCAAAAGAGCACACAGGTATATTAATGGAACAGAATATATAGCCCAGAAATAGAGCCACACAAATATAGTCAACTAACCTTTGACAGGGAGCAAAGAAATACAAAGGAGAGAAGATAATCCTTTCACCAAATGGTGCTGGAACAACTGGACAGCACATGGAGACTAAAGAATTTAGACAAAGACGTTACACATTTTACAAAAATTACCTCCAAATGGATCATGGACCTAAATATAAAATGCAAAACTATAAAATTCCTGGTAATATGGGAGAAAATCTACATGATCTTGGGTTTGATTTTTTAGATATAACAATTATTTTTAATTGCCAATACTTGGAAGGAACCAAGATGTCTTTCAATAAGTAAATCGGTAAATTAACTATGGTATATTCATTCAGGAAAACATTCAGTGTTAAAAACATACATATCAAGCTATGAAAAGACATGAAAGAAGCTTAAATGCGTATGACATATACAATACGTATGATATGCATTACTGTTTGGACCAAAATTTATAGCATTGTCATGGTTTATAGCATATATAGATGTAATATAAAAAGGGGAAAATGGACATACATACTTGCAAGATTTCTGCATTTAACAAGGAGTAATATATAACTTCAAATGGACTGTGACAAGTTAAGGATATGTATTTTAAATCCCAGGACAATCATTAAAAAAATAATGTAGAGAAGTATAAAAAAACCCAATAAGAAAATTGTAACTGAATTTTTAAATAACTTAAATACTATTAAGATAATATTTTAAAAACATGAAAGGAAGAACAGAAAATAGAACAAATAGAAAACAAACAATAGAATGATAAACCAAAAAACAACTGCAGCAATAATTTTATTAAATATGAATAGATTAAACATTTCAATTAAAAGGCAGAGTTTTCAGAATTGATTTTAAAAAGCTTTACCCAACTGTATGCTGTATACGAGAGATGCACTTTATATTTAAAGGCATCAGATAGGTTGAAAGTAACTATGGGAAAGAATATACCATGCAAACAGCAAACAAAGAAAACTGGCATAGCTGTGTGAAAATGAGATAAAGTAGATTTTCCAGACTTTTTACTGTGGTTGATTTCAAGCTTCATAGCATTGTGGCCTGAAAGTATGCATGGTATGATTTCAATTCTTGTAAACTTATGAAGGGCTGTTTGTGGCCCAGTATATGATCTATCTTGGAGAATGTTCCATGTGCACTCGAGAAGAAAGTCTATTCTGTTGCTTTGGGATGTAGAGTTCTACATATATCTGTCAAGTCCATCTGATCCAATGTCTCATTCAGGGCCCTTGTTTCTTTATTGACCGTGTGTCTAGATGATCTATCCATTTCTGTAAGTGGGGTGTTAAAGTCCCCTGCAATGACCACATTCTTATCAATAAGGTTGCTTATGTTTATGAGTAATTGTTTTATATATTTGGGCGCTCCGGTATTCGGCGCATAGACATTTATAATTGTTAGCTCTTCCTGATGGATAGACCC